TATTTATAATATTTTATTATTTCCCTTATACGTGACTTTACCGAAAGAACCAAGAAGACAGCTGTGGAGAGTCAAGGAGAGGCCACTCGGCCTGGCTCCTCGCTTCAGCTGCAGCAGCAGCAGCTGCAGCAGCAGCAACAGCAGCAGCAGGGCGATGGAAATTCCACACGCCCATGGCGAGGTTCGGTCTGTTCATTTGAAATATCATCGGTCACTTGCCACTCGTTGTTCGGCCGAGTCGACGCCTGGCTGAGACTTGAACTTTGCAAACTCTTGAATGCGATTCCGGAAGCCGGCGAGGGTCACGCTCTCATCAAAGCACCGCGCGGTGCAATCTCACGTGCAGATGTGTGTAACGCGACGTCTTTTCGGCGCAACAACGACCGTTGTGAATTTCGCTGCTTGGATCGAGGCATCCCCACGCGTTTGGGTCACGGAGAGTTGCGTGATCGAACTTCTCCTGCCGGACGGTGCGGGTTGGTGAATGGTGGCCCCCAGGGCCGCTGACGGTAACCACGCGTGCCACCACATCCTCTGTTAACTTGTGTGTGTGCTATTTTACTGTTAACGTGTGTATGTTATTTTACTGACATGTGACAAAGCAGGCTGAGAGAGGTTGAAGGGCAGGGTGATGGCAATGATGACCAACAAACTAAAATATCAAAACTCGGTCACCACTTATTCAAGGTGTGTGTGTATTTTTAGTCGTCATATTGACATATCCAGGAATGAGCCAGTGAGTCTTTTCAACGCAACAATAGAGCCTTGTTTGGAAAATGTATCCAATTACTGGCCAGATTTCGCAAGCATGGAGATGTCTAGATAGAACCCGCAAAAAAGTGCGAGGTAATAACACTGACAGCAAATTAAGGATCCTACTTGATGTACTGCCGTTTACCTCGAGGCAACACCTCGTTTCTCTACAAGAGGGTTCAACAACAACAACAACCGCCATTCGCCACTAAGTGGCGGTGACGTCACCACGACGCTTGTGCCAGGCTATGTGCAGGTTGAGGCCACGTGAAGTAGCGAACGCCCGCTGGCAGGAGGTCACGGGGCAGACCCAGATGCCACAGGTCGACTGAGACGACTGGCTGATGCACCACCTGTGCCCCCTTCTGTGCCAACTTGCTGTGCTTTTGCTACCCGGCGCTCCACTCGTTATTGTGAGCGTCGCTCCTCCGCCCTCCGTTGTTGTTGGAGGGCGACTGCCTCCAACTGCCCAGTAGCGTCCTTAACGAGCCTCCTCCACAGAGGCCGATCTTGACACCAGCTGGTACCAGTCATCGGCAGGTCCACTCAGCTCCACGTCCTCCTGTACCACATCACTCCATCTCTTCTCTAGCCCGTGCCGCGCCAGTTTAGCCCCCTCCATCCGGCCGAACAAAAGCTGTTTAGGCATGCGGTGGCTGGGCATGCGAGCTACATGGCCCAGCCAACGCAGCCTTGCCTGCCGGAGGAGTTCACCGATGGGACTTTGTCCAGATCTTTCAAGGATTTGTGAACTCCTCACACAATCCAGCCTGGTTAAACTCAGGATGGATCACCTCTTGGTGGCAAGCTCCAGGTTCGGCAGCAGCGCCTCCAACTCCTCCTCTGAGTGAGCAGCAATTACCAGATCATCGACATACATAACATGGTTGAGCAATAGGGAGCCATCCCTTGACTGCACCCGGGCATCGATCTGCCTCTCATTATATCTGTACCAGATGGAAATTCCTCCGGTACAGCTATTGAAGGCTTCATGAACTACGTGGTCAAAATAGATGTTATTTAATGTGGGAGCCAGAGAACATCCCTATCGCACCCCAAGGTGTACAAGGAATGGCTCTGACTCCCGGCCACGTAGTTTTACCCGGGACCGCTCACCATCATGAAGGTCCTTAATGATCATGAGCCTAGGCTCAGGGACTCCGAAAGCACGAAGAACAACCGAGGCCTACTGATGGTATCATAGGCCTTGACCAGGTCAATGAAGTAGAGATGTAGGTCTTGTTGGAATTCCCTACATCTGTGCTGTAGTAGACGTCTAGAAAATATGGCATCTGTGCAGGACCGCCCTTTCCTGATACCGCATTGGGGCTCTGCAAGCCTCTTCTCAGCGTGCCTAGCAAGGCGATGTTGAATAATCCTTGCCAGGACCTTCCCCGACACACTGAGGAGTGAAATGCCCCTGTAGTTGCTACAGTGTGTGTGGTCCCCCCTTCTTAAAGAAGGGGGCCTACCAGGGCATCCTTCCAATCCTGCGGAACCTGTCCAGTGGTCCAGACTGTTGTTATGATGTCATGTAGGGCAGTCTGTGCACAAACGCCACCCTCCCTCAGCATTTCGCTTGGGAGATCATCTCTACCCGGTGCCTTTCCTGGTCTCAGACTCTGGATCGCCTTTCGTACTTCCTCAATAGATGGCACCTCAGCCAGCCACTCACAGGGGGTGACTTCTTCCTCCAATATTTGAGGCACCGCAGCCTCGGCAGGGTCATCCCCACTTTGTCCCACGTTGTTTTCTTGAGTGAGGGATTTCCCCTCCCCCAGGACCTCACAGAAATGCTCAGCAAATCTGCAAACCTGTTCCTGGGGGTCGGAGATTGGATCACCGTTCTTTCCCCTAATGATGGTAATAGGTGTGGTGCTGCAGGTTACCTTTTTTTTAATGGAATTAAAGAGCGATTTGTGATCGCGTGCCATTGAGACAGAGCAAGAGAGCAAAACAACCCCCTACCTCCTCGTGGTGCTGGACGGGCAATGGTGTCGTGGGCAGTGCTGTGGGGGGAGTCCCAATTCCGATTGGCCTTTCCCCTCAGCGACCAAATTGGGGCTTTGGACGGGTGCGAGGGGCTGGTAACTCCTCCACCTTCAATTAATTACCAATAAACCACGACCATAAGATGTAATAAAGAAGCTTGTGCCGGAGGCCCCGGGGGGACAGGCGTCTATGACGTCTTCTGGCCAAACCCCATGGAGACTGAATCCTTACCATTGGGGCTCCTCTAGAAACAACAAAAAAACGCTACATGTGGCCAAGTGAAATGTTCGAACGCTCACTGCGGAGGAGAGGCTGCCACTCCTCTGTAGGGAGCTGGACCAGTACCGCCTGGATCTCTGGGGTATCCAGGAGGTCTGGTGGACCGGCTCTGGTTCCTGCCACCATGAGGGGTGGACAGTCCACTACTCGGGGCAGGAGACTGCCAAACAAGCAAGAGGGTTCACACACACACACACACTTCGGAGTGACCCACAAAGCCCGAGGCATCGATAGAAAAAAATGAGCTCCAATCAATTGCATTCCATCAACATCTATTTATAAATGTCCTTAACGATCAAGTTAATTGAGATCAAGTACTCTAAATAAAAATGCACTCACACTAATATTAGTGTCCGTGCGAACCAATCAGCGCACATTACCCTCTATGACGTGTGGATCAGAATAGCGGAAGACAAGCTGAAACGTGTGCAAATAAATGTATGGGCAGACAGAGGAGCACGTGGCTTTGAGAACGTACTCGGGCTACGGATCACACATCGACTGTTGAGAAAAGCAAAGTCGACTTGTGCCGAACACATCGCTCGAAGGCAGTGGCGGCTCCTGCAAAATCTCTCAGGGGGGGCAAATGTCTGGATAATTGATAAGGATAAGGTCCACCCATGCAATGGATAAATTAACAGCTTAAGCATGTAAAGGCAACTTCACTTCTTTAATATTAATGAAAAATAAAGTGACTCTTACAATACATCTTGTTTGTTTCTATACTCACTATTAATACAATCCACTCAAGTTTCTTTTATTAAAGATTCCACTAGGTGGCGACCAATTATATTGTTGGATGAAACGTGCTTACGTATGATGACGTAAGCACGTTAGGGCGAGCCCTCCCGGAAGCCATAGAGAATGCATTGCAGCGCCCCCCGTTCTAAAAAAAACATCTTTGAATGTAAGTCTATGGGGCCACTCGGGGCGATTCTCAGCCGGAGTGAAATCGCCCAAAAAGAGGCGGTACTCCACAGAACGTGACATGATGCTGATTGGACTATATCCAGAGGCACAGTGACGGCTAGCATGACTCTGTGGTTGAATGACATTGGTGGTGCGTCGCCCAATCGCCCTAATGAAGAAACCGCCCCTGCTTGAAGGGCTCCTCTGGCTGACACGAACGACATCGTGGCAGCCACAGGAGGAGAAGGCACCCCAGCAGCACCTCCAGCATGGAGACGGAGTGCTGAAATCAACTCGCGTGCAGGTGCCATGTGGATTGTTACATCACTGGATCATACTGGTAGGAACCTCTGGTTACACCAGCCCACAGGGAATTATTGTGTCCGTCCATCCGTCCTGCAGGGAGGGGCTGGGTGGAGAGGGAGGGGTTGGGTGGGAAGGGGAGAGTGGGGAGGGGCTGGGTGGGGAGGGTGGGGCTGGGTGGGGAGGGGAGGGGCTGGGTGGGGAGGGTGGGGAGGGGCTAGGTGGGGAGGGTGGGGAGGGGCTGGGAGAGGTGGGGCTGGGTGGGGAGGGGCTGGTCACCCCGTGGTGCCCTTATAAAACTCAACGTTTAACCTACTCACGCCGGCTTGTGCCCGCCCTCACAGTCGGGCATATTTGCAGAATACACCACGCCGCCGTTGACCCTGGCCATTGACCGAGCAACCCAACGTTCCTACCAGCTCCCTCCGCAGGAATGTGTTGATAAGTGGGGGTGGGGGGGGTGACTTGGGGAGGAATTAATCCAGCAGTGGATTTGTCATTGCTGATTATGATCATTTGTGTCGATGCAAGTGTGGAGGAGGGTGGTGGGGGGGGGGGGGGTCAGTGTGAGGTTAACGTCCAGCGACAAGCGGATGGGCGCTGGAGTCACGGGGAGTTCTCAGCAGCGGAGGGTTTCGCGAACGTTCGCCTCGCCGCAGCTCACGAGGCTCCCGTCGCTCACCACGGAGCCAACAGCGCGGCCGTCGCAGCCCGGGCGCGCGTGGCCACGTGCCGTGAAATAATTCAGCGCGCCTGCCCCTATCAACACGATACAGTAACTTTATTCTCTATGTACATCGTGTTCATATCACCGTTATAGAAAGAAAGAAGAAGACGAAAAAAAAGAAAAGCACACGCGTGCGGCACGCGCTCGCTCACTTTGACAGAGTGGTGGTGGTTCCCATGTAAAAACCGCGCGCAGGGTTCCGTGCGTGCCTGGGTGATCGAGCGCAGACAGGCGCATCCGAGTCCCGCATGCCCCGATGCGTCATCCTCCTTCTTCGAACATCCCTCTCCTCCAGGCGGGTTGGGTGGTCGTTCGCACAGGGCCTTATCTCACGCAGGGCCAGCGCGTTCACATGCGAGATATGGATCGTGGGGGCCTTTGTTGGCGTGGGAAATGCGCCCCGCTCCCCCACCTATTTCACTTTGTTTTTGCTTTCGTTAATGATGAGTCTTTTTTTTAAAAAACAACAACAAAAGCCACGATAGATTGCTCCACGGGGACTCGTCTGAGACGTTTTCGAGTGCCGGCCGCGTTCTCTTCTCTGAAGCTCAACCGCGAGGACGTGTGGAGGGGTTGGGGAGACGCAATTGTAAAATTGAGAACAGCAGAAAAAAAAATACAACGGATGGCGAGATTCATCACCGGCACATTCACGGCGTGCGTATATTCTTGCACTGCGTGCGGCGGTGCAAAGGGGACCGCGCGGGCTGTGAAAGTTTCTCATCGTCAACACGGCACATTCAGCTGATCATTGCGTAGCGGTGTGTGTGTGTCGTCCTCTCTCTGGTGGGGAGTGGCAGTGCAGCGGTCAGGGCGCTGCACCACAAACACAGCCCGTGGCCAATAACAGTGAAGATTAATTGAAACGGTCCTGGGTCTTCTCTAGGTCGACGCAGCCTCGCGTGAGTACCTGCTGCGGTGTGTAAACATCGGCACTGGGGAGACAAAGGTGGCCAGGCGTGGCGCTGGCCACGGACCCCCTCGCGTGCCGTGCCGGCCATGAAAGGTGCTCGCCTACCAGCTCTTGCCCAACAGTCTGTTAAAGGCTATACAGGGAATCTTTATCTTTGTGTGTCCTCTCTCTTGCCATCACCATCGGCAGCCTTGAGTATGCGGTGGAAATGACACATTGCTATGGCGGGGCTTAGTCTCTATATATGAGAACCATTGTTGACTGATATTTAACTGCTATTCGGATGATTGATTCTGGGGAAACGATGGCTGGGGTTTCAACGTGTGATCGTCTGACCACAGGTTAAATGCTATACACGTATGCACATACGTACATACGAACGCGCACGCGCACATCACCACTACACACACACACACACACCACGAGTCTTTAGGTGCCAGTCTTTCACGAAGCCCTCTCTGGCTTCATCGGCGCTTCCCCACGACGGGGACAACGACAACAACAACAACAGCGACTGACAAGCGGAGTCCGTCCTCACGGTCGGTCAGGGGCATCGCGGCCACCGCCGCCGCCGCCGCCGCGTCACTTGCACACGTTGACCCACGCGCTGCTGTGGCACTCCTCGCACACCACGTAGCAGCACCAGTGGAACTTGCAGTTGCAGCGCTCCATGCGGCTCTCGCTGATCTGGTTGTGGCCGCGCCCGCAGCACATGCTCTCGCAGCCGTCCGCGCCCGAGCTCGTCCGGTTGCACACCCTGCCCTGGGTGCCGGGCCACTCGCTGCCCGCGCCGCGTTCGCAGAACGTGGGCGAGCGCTCAAAGTACAGCAGCTCCCCGTCGTCGGGAGGCCGGTAGCGGCGGCCGGTGACCTGGGCCGAGGAGGAGCCCTGGTGGTGGTGCTGGTGGTGGTGGCCTCCGCCGGACACCAGAGCCAGCGCCGGGCCGCCGTGCCGGTTGTGCGGCGCCAGGAACGCGGCGAGGTGAAAGCGGTCGCGCAGCGTGTCGCCCACCGTGCGGAAGTCGGGGCTCACTTGCCAGCACGTCTTGAGCTGGCAGCTCCCGGAGGTGCCGTGGCACTTGCACTTGCGCCTCTTGTGCTCCAGGACGACCTGCGGGAGAGCGGCGGGGAGAAGAGGGAGGAGGAGGAAGTGGCGGTTGTGTGGTGTGGCTCGCTTCTGGGCAATGATGGACTTTACGTCGCGGTCGGAAAAAGGGCATCTCAAAAAATTCAAGTCACACTTAAACAGTCTCGTTTACAAGGGAGAGCTGGGTCGTGAAAGCAGCACAGACCATAAAACGTGAAAAAAACCGCAGCATGCGATATAAAAGAGGAATTGTGAAACAAACGTGAAGTATTAATCGATTAAACATGGAGTGGAGCGTTTCAGTGAGACATTTTAAAATGAGGGCACAAGGAGGCACGGTTCAACGCATCTGCACATTTTCCAATCAATGGATCCAACTGCCGTTAAACAACAGATGTGGAGATAATTATTTGTTTTAAACAGTAGAGGAGATTCAACGTGGTTGCTCATAGCAGGAGCATCGCGGCAGAAAAAAATGACACGACTTTGGATTGAGTGCAAATACACAGCAACCAGAATTTGATTCCCTACCACGGCTAACATCAGTGGCGAGTGATGTCTGAACCAATCCTGGGACCCCCCCTCCCCCAGGCATCAATCCGCACTGCGACAGCGTGTTCGTCAAACAGTGTTCTAAACAAGCTCCACGATCTACACGAGATGCAAGGAGGCCTTTATCCAGCAGTTGTAATGACAAAGGGCTGTGAATGATTATGTTCGCGGATTACAAAGACCCCAGATTTATAGGCCGGTGTAGTGAGAGCGGTGGTGTGCGCCACGCGTCGTTATGATTAAAGCTCTGAAGCCTTTCATTCTCACCGTCGCCCCAGGGCCCGATACGTTTTTTTTTTAATACGAACAAGCGAGGCCCTCGATAAATTAACCCTGGTGGCCACGGCGCCGCCTGCCAGCATTCCGGCACTTTGAAGGTAACGGTCGGAGGATGGCGCAGAGATCTGTGAAACTCCCAAACCCACTGGGGTTACCAAGTGGCTCGGGGAAGGCAGTAAAACGAGTGAGCCCGTGAACGCGTCTGAGCCACACATTCGTTCTTATCCCCCCCATATGCGTGCTGGGCTTTCTCCGGGCGCCCCAGGGGTTCCTCCCACGAAACAAAAATAAATGCCCCTCAAAGTTACTTGCCAAACATCCCAAAGCAGGATTCTCGTTGAAGACGTTTCTAGAGCCTCGTTGAGGCTGCCCTGGCTAAAGTAGTACGATTATAACGTTTATTCAAAGTGGATTACATTGAAGCATTTCCCCTACGAGGTGTCCACACAGCTGGGCCAGCGCCATACCCCGGCATCTGAAACCCATTTTGGCTCCAGTGTGTCCCCAAGCTCATAACATAATTTAAACATAAGCATGTAGCATCCATATTTAAACATGATCGGATCACCGTTTTATAGACTGTATCTATTCTATGTTAAGCCGATTAGACACAACTTATGTGCGTGAATAGATACGTACGCATGTTATTATTAACGTGCGGATTGTTTGTGTGTGAAACGTTTGTATGTTGAACTTTTGTCGATGACATGTAGCCAAGCCGTGCTAACCGGCGGTGCAGGAAAACAACATCCCGAGTTCGATTCCCAGCTACGGCGAACATTGGCATCGGGCAATGTCCGAAACAGTCCTGGCCTCTGCTGTTTTCACCAATCCACAGTGACCAGCGTGGTGAAGTACGGTCAAACACCCCCTACCACGACCAACACGAGTAGAGAATCCCTCTGTTTCATCATGGGACCTCCTTTGCCAGTACCAAAATATACTAATAGGGGGTTTCCCCCTTTTTTCTGGAAACAAAATTGACACCTTTTGCAAGGAATCATGCTTACATTAACCACAATACTCGCCTTTTGGCGTCATCTGGTCAAACACCATATGAGACTAGGCTCTAAAGAAAGCTGTCTCTGGTGTGGACCAATCAGTTTCAAAGACAATGCATAAATTATCAGAGTATTGTTTTTTGTTTGCATTTGACTGCAAGTATTGTGGTTAATGTAAGCATGATTCCTTGCAAAATGTGTCAGTTTTGTTGCCAGAAAAAAGAGGAAAAACCCCTATTAGTAATCCCTCTGTTGTCAATCTGCACTGGCAAGAGGAGCCGAATGCCGTGTTCATGCTCTTCTCACGATCCTCCTCCTCCTGTACTCGGAGCACCACAAGTCATCCGCCTTAACGGACGTCATTCACTGATACGAATGTCGGAACGACGTGGATCAAAGATAATTGCAGGGTAGGTGGAGGCGAAGGCCGAGGCGACGGATACGAGAAAGGATGGACGATGCTGTCAGCGACGTTGAGTGCGGGTTGGGACGACGCAAATCAGGTCGCGGTGTTAATAAAGCGACGACGTTTTTGCGAAACGACGTCAAATGAGGAGACGTAAATTGGGTCTTACTGGAATGTAATGTCGAGGCAATATTTATTGTGAGTGTTTTTCCATTCTGTAAGATTTAAAGAATATTCTGGCAAAAAAATCACATTAAGACTGGCACACATGTAAAAAAAAATCGCATTATTAAATTAACCATGTCAGGATTCCGTATTCATTCCACATATTCGGTGTTATATTATCATTTTATCTCCCGAACTTCTTTTTCTTCTGCCGTTTCAAGTGGGCACACACACACGCACGGGCACGCACACACGCACACATACACACGGGCACGCACACACACACGGGCACACACGCACACACGGGCACACACGCACACACGCACACACACGGGCACACACGCACACACACACAGGCACGCACACACGGGCACGCACACACGGGCACACACACGCGGACACACACACTCACGCACGCTCACACACACACACGCACACACACACACGGGCACGCACACACGGGCACACACACGCGGGCACACACACTCACGCACGCTCACACACACACACGCACACACACACACGGGCACGCACACACGGGCACACACACACGGGCAAGCACACACACACACACGGGCACACACACACGGACACACACACGGGCACACACACACACGGGCGCGCTCCTCTGGGAACCCTTGCAAAGCAAACGGGGACGCTTTTGTGCATTTTTGTGGCGAGAGGCATCGCTGCTGCATCTGCAACTCACAACTCGTCGCCCCCGGGGCTCAACCGCGCCCAGTTAAGGGTCGTTGTAAGATTAGTAGTAGGGCTGTGTGGGCTACATGGGCTGTGTGGGCTACATGGGCTGTATGGGCTGTGTGGGCTGTGTGGGCTACATGGGCTGTGTGGGCTGTATGGGCTACATGGGCTACATGGGCTGTGTGGGCTACATGGGCTGTGTGGGCTACATGGGCTGTATGGGCTGTGTGGGCTACATGAGCTGTGTGGGCTACATGGGCTGTGTGGGCTACATGGGCTACATGGGCTGTGTGGGCTACATGGGCTACATGGGCTGTGTGGGCTGTGTGGGCTACATGGGCTGTATGGGCTACATGGGCTGTGTGGGCTGTGTGGGCTACATGGGCTGTGTGGGCTACATGGGCTACATGGGCTACATGGGCTGTGTGGGCTACATGGGCTACATGGGCTACATGGGCTGTGTGGGCTACATGGGCTGTGTGGGCTACATGGGCTACATGGGCTACATGGGCTGTATGGGCTGTATGGGCTACATGGGCTACATGGGCTGTGTGGGCTACATGGGCTACATGGGCTACATGGGCTGTGTGGGCTGTATGGGCTGTGTGGGCTACATGGGCTGTATGGGCTACATGGGCTGTGTGGGCTACATGGTCTACATGGGCTACATGGGCTGTGTGGGCTACATGGGCTGTATGGGCTACATGGTCTACATGGGCTACATGGGCTGTGTGGGCTACATGGGCTACATGGGCTGTGTGGGCTGTATGGGCTGTGTGGGCTACATGGTCTACATGGGCTACATGGGCTGTGTGGGCTGTATGGGCTGTGTGGGCTACATGGCTACATGGGCTACATGGGCTACATGGGCTGTATGGGCTGTGTGGGCTACATGGGCTACATGGGCTGTGTGGGCTGTATGGGCTGTGTGGGCTACATGGGCTACATGGGCTGTGTGGGCTACATGGGCTGTGTGGGCTACATGGGCTACATGGGCTGTGTGGGCTACATGGTCTGTATGGGCTACATGGTCTGTATGGGCTACATGGGCTACATGGGCTGTATGGGCTACATGGGCTACATGGGCTGTATGGGCTACATGGGCTGTGTGGGCTACATGGGCTGTATGGGCTACATGGGCTACATGGGCTGTGTGGGCTACATGGGCTGTGTGGGCTACATGGGCTGTATGGGCTACATGGGCTGTGTGGGCTACATGGGCTGTGTGGGCTGTGTGGGCTACATGGGCTGTGTGGGCTACATGGGCTGTATGGGCTACATGGGCTGTGTGGGCTACATGGGCTGTGTGGGCTGTGTGGGCTACATGGGCTACATGGGCTGTGTGGGCTACATGGGCTGTATGGGCTGTGTGGGCTGTGTGGGCTACATGGGCTGTGTGGGCTACATGGGCTGTGTGGGCTGTGTGGGCTACATGGGCTGTATGGGCTACATGGTCTGTGTGGGCTACATGGGCTGTGTGGGCTGTGTGGGCTGTGTGGGCTACATGGGCTGTGTGGGCTGTGTGGGCTACATGGGCTGTGTGGGCTACATGGGCTGTATGGGCTACATGGGCTGTGTGGGCTACATGGGCTGTGTGGGCTGTGTGGGCTACATGGGCTGTGTGGGCTACATGGGCTGTGTGGGCTACATGGGCTGTGTGGGCTACATGGGCTACATGGGCTGTGTGGGCTACATGGGCTACATGGGCTACATGGGCTGTGTGGGCTACATGGTCTGTATGGGCTACATGGTCTGTATGGGCTACATGGGCTACATGGGCTGTGTGGGCTACATGGGCTGTGTGGGCTACATGGGCTACATGGGCTGTGTGGGCTACATGGTCTTTATGGGCTACATGGGCTACATGGGCTGTATGGGCTACATGGGCTGTATGGGCTACATGGGCTACATGGGCTGTA